GCGTTGTAGAGATCCCAGACGTTCCAATAGCTCTTGCCAAGAACACCAGCAGCCGCACTAGTTGTGGCACAGCTCAGAAACATGACGAGCACCTTACTGACCAGGATACCAATGGCTTGTGACCAGGTTGCCTGTGCTGGACGTGTAGCGTACCGAGCGACATCAGGTTGGTTGACCAGGATCGGGCAGAGGGCCGCCATGACGCTGTTAATAGCTTGGATCATGGGCCACACAAGTGCCGCGCCGCTTAGAGACTTTGCTCCAAAGTTAAAACCACCCAGGCTCCCTCCATTCGCATGTACTGCCCATCCTAGGACGCCGACTAGACCTGCAGTTGTAGCCACGGACTTCACCACAAATAGGTGTCGAAGAATAGTCGGATGGATGAACATCACCGGAAACTGCATGATCCAGAAGATGAAGAATGCCAACAGGTTCTTGGAAGTGATCCCCGCGCTTGTCGGGAGGCGGTTAGTAATATTATCCCACCCGGAGCCGAATATGGCCCTGAGGGCCACTGAAGTGAGCATACCGCCATAGAATGACTGAGTTGCGAAGTAGATGACGGCGACGGAGGCGCGTACGACTATAAATAGTTTTGCACCGCTAACACCGGCAGCAGCGCGAACGTAAACTGGGAATCCAACATGATAGCAAGTTGCACCGCGGGAGTTGAGGATAACCACAACGCTGAGGATAGCGGAGCCGATCACGGCTGCAATCATGCCGTGCCACCATTGCTGCGCATTGATTGTAAGAGACTCCTCATAGTATAATGTACGGTAGAGACTAGACTCAACATACTAAGCCAATTGAGATGAGAGTTGCTCCAAGATTGTAAGAGCCTGGAGAAAATGTCTGGGTCAAGTAGTACGTGAAGAAGTGTAAAGCTGTCCAACTTCGATGCTCTTCAGAGAAAAATTAGCTATTTGCTCATTGTGTCGAAAAGCTTTCAAATGACAACTGACCTGAAGGAGTAGGTAGCAAATCTTCGTTGAAGTACGCCGTCCCCTCTTCGGGATATTCTTTGGTTTGGATGAATTGCTTGAACTCGTGCCGGGACGAGCAAGCTCTTGTGAGCCTCGTCAAAAACATCATCGCTCAGTGTAAATTGTTTAAATAATTCCAGATACACTTGTTGTGCCTTTCGACCAGTACTATCAACACACCTTACGAAGTTTCATGTCAAGTTGCGATTTATCTCCGTCATTACTTTATTTATCAAGTTGAGGTTGTATTTCGTTATCATGACTGAAAGCTGCCTTTCCCTTGATGCCGCTATCTCATCTCCATCTCAACCTTTCGATAAGAAGTAGCTTAGCTGTCAAATTGGCACATTCTATCGACCAGACGAGCGAATACTTTCTGATAACATGGTCTCCAGGTGAGCGAATCATGCGGGATAAATAGCGTCGGACATCCGCCGAGAATGATAAGCGAGCCACATTGGCGACCAGCCGACGGCATCGGACGTTCCGACCAGCAACGACTTTTGTGGAGTCCATCGCTTCAAAACTTGCCGAAATCCCTTGTTGGTCTGGCCTAGCCATGACGCACCCATTTTTTCAATAGTCAACGTTGAATTCGCCCCCCTTCAACTTTTCAGCCCAGTTTTTTCGCTGCCGAACCCGGAGCCGAGATGAGGCCGATTGACCAATCTTTGACGGCGGTGATCCGAGTCTTGGCTCCTCCGGACGCTGGTATCCGCTCTCAACGTCGGATTGTCTCACGAAAAGTTTTCATGCGCTGGTTCTTTTACTCATAGTTTCAGCCGCATATTCTCTTGGAGCTTCCTAATCACTCGGCCATACTTTACGCTGATATTCTTGCCATCGAAATTGTTGTACTTTGTCCCAAGCGATCGACTACCCAGGGTTGCAGCATGAGGGGCGATCAGGAAACAACCAAGGCCGAAAAGGCTCTCCACGACCAGACAAACATCTTACCTTTGAAGAAACTCCTAGTTGTCTTTGCAACCCTTGCAGTGACTTTATTAGTCTCATTCATCGACCAGAATGGCATCAGTATCACTTTGCCAACGATTGCTGCGGACCTCAACGCGGAGGATACGATATCATGGGCGGGTACGTCATCGCTCATCGCCAACACGACATTTCAGATGCTCTACGGGCGTTTCTCAGATATTTTCGGCCGAAAAGCCGTATTCCTGAGTGCCATCGGTCTTTTGTCAATTGCAGACTTGCTCTGTGGGCTTTCACAGAATGCGACAATGTTTTACATCTTCCGTGGCGTTGCGGGCATCGGCGGAGGCGGTATCACGAATCTCGCCATGATCATTGTCTCCGATGTCGTTACTTTGGAACAAAGAGGCAAGTATCAAGGAATCTTGGGCTCGATGGTTGGTCTTGGAAATGTTCTCGGCCCTTTTCTTGCTGCCGCCTTTGTTGAGAGGGCAACATGGAGAGCGTTCTTTTGGATGCTCTCACCCCTCGGTGTTATCGTCGGTATCATCTCATACTTCTTCCTGCCATCTAAGCCTCCAGATGACGACTTCATGAAGAGTGTCAGAAAGATCGACTATGCAGGCTCATTCACCTCGTCGGCCGGCGTTATTTTGCTGCTTATTCCCATCTCTGGAGGTAAGTTATTCCTCGGCTCGATCCCGTGCATTGATAGAGCAAAAGCTGATTAAGTCTGCCAGGTGGCGCATATTTTCCATGGAATTCAGCAATGGTTATCAGCATGTTGACAATAGGGGCGCTTGCTCTTGTGTCTTTTGTCATTGTGGAGTGGAAGTTCGCCAAGCTTCCGATGATGCCAGGTAATATTCGTCCACAAGAAAGATGTCCCCGAGTGCTAGCTAACAATACACAGTTCCCATCTTCAAGAACAAGGTTGTTGTTGTCCTCTTGGCACAGTCATTTCTGTTCGGAGCAGCGTACCAAGGATATCTCTACTACATCCCGCTGTATCTCCAGAACGCTCATCAATTCTCGGTCATTCATTCGGCGGGAATCTATGTTTCCTTAGTTGTTTGTCAATCCGTATTCTCAATCATCTCGGGACAGTACATATCGAGAACTCAGCGGTATGGAGAAGTGATCTGGGCAGGCTTTGGCCTCTGGACACTGTGAGTCGAGGGCTTTCCCGATCTCGGCTACTACGTTTGCATCTATCTGACAAATGACATAGAGGAGCTGGTCTCACACTTATTTTCGACCGAAATACCAAGCCTGGAATCATCGTAATTCCTCTGCTGATCATCGGCATTGGTGTCGGATTCATCTTCCAGCCAACGCTGGTGGCCCTGCAGGCGCACTCCATCAAGTCTCGCCGGGCAGTCATCACCTCAAATCGCAACTTTTTTCGATGTGCCGGTGGTGCTTGCGGATTAGCCGTCTCCGCGGCAGTGCTTCAAGCAACTTTGCGAGCAAACTTGCCTTCAGGCTTCAAGGACCTCGCCAGCAGTACTTACTCGATACCGCAACTGAATGAGCAAGATAAGTCCGCGGTCCTCGACGCATACATGGCGGCAAGTCGAGCAGTTTTCATTCTTCAGATACCACTGATTGGGTTGTGCTTGGTGGGCTGTCTGTTGATCAAAGACAGAGGCTTGCATCCGATCGAGGAGGCGAAGCCAGATGACACGTTCAGTGAGAGTAGGGATGAAGAAATGGGACACCCGAGTGAGAAAAGCTCACATGATGGCAACCACGACAGCCACGAGCAAGTGCTGGCACAGCGCACCAGCGCACCACAGCAACAACCCGGGAGGACGTGAGACTGCATGATCATTGCAAGGTGGAGAGAAAAGATGAGATCGGGATAAAATGCGAACTACTAGATGACGACTAATGTGGAATGATAGACTAATAGACGGAGGATTGGAGATGAACGTAAGAATACGCGTCGGCTATCAAAACTCATCGCTGATTGGACACCTATAAATGATCCAAAGTGTGGGCAAATCAGCCGCTTTCACAACGACGCCACTTTTCTGTCTCACGGTGTCAGTCGCCTCTTGAGTGTCGGCGGAAGGCCAACTCCGATCGGGCCTGGCGGGGGAGCGTAAGAAGAGTTGCTCGAACGGCAATGAATCAGTATCCACCCGGATGCGCGGCGACACACACAGCTTCGGTATGAACACCGATGTGGCTCTTCACAAAATCCTCAACATCTTGGCATGAGCTGCCCTTCAGCAGCCCCTTGCTGAGAAACAAGGTACCTCACCCTACTAAGTTGAGTACCTGGGTTACCTGAAGGAATTATGCAGCCACAAATGCCCGTCTATCCGTACTCCTCGCAGTCAGTTGATTGTCTCACTACGTTGATTGCCTCAGTACCTACCTAGCCAGTCAAATAGCCATATCTCGGCAGCACAGTTGCTTGACGTTGAAGGTGATTAGAGACATGTTTGTGAGCTTTCGGAGCAATTCCGCTGCACCCAACACATCAGCGGGCGTCAGCCGTGCCAGCTAGATCCCTTCGAGTCATGACAAACCCACACCACGGAATCGGTTCGTAAAAGAAACTACCATGTTTGGGAACGAGCTAGGGCGCACAATTTCATGTGTGGATAATGAGGTGAGCACGAGGCACGAGAACAAGAAATGCATGACTAGATTGTCCGAGCCGGACAACTTGTGTCTAACGTGGAACGGGAACAACACCGCGTTGGGCCGCGGCCCGTAATATGGGTGGAGATCGTGGATTTCCCCATGCATTCTCCACGATTCCTCCACGTATTGAACAATTGTGCCAGCCTCGGTGGGGGTCGTGCCAGACGTGGGGGATGAACCGCCAACGCCAGACGTGGAGGGCATACCCGGTGACCCCAATCCTTGAGGCCTGGTGGATCGTATTGTTACACATGTACCGCTGCATGGCAGAGCTTCACGATGCGGGGGCCATTGTTAAGAATGGGATGAATCATGAATGATTGTATGTGCTTCATGACTGCTTGAACTGTATTGAGTTCTATCACGACCAGCTTCGAATCATCTGAACACTATTGAGCCATTCCCGTCCTCTAGTACATCATGGCTAAGATTGCGTCCGTGCGGTATTACCGCGTAAAGCCTCGTTGGCTCATGGTGAAAATCACCGACGAGAATGGCGAGTATGGTTGGGGCGAGGCAACGCTCGAGGGTCATGATCTGGCTGTTGAGGGCTGTCTTGAGGAGATGATCCCTAGGATAGTCGGTCTTGAAGCAGGGTAAAGTATTCAACTTAATTTTCGTAAGACTTTGTCTGACTTCTGCCCAGCAACATTGAGCACATTTGGCAAACATTCTGGCGCCATGGCTTCTATCGAGGAGGCCCCGTCTTCATGTCAGCAATGTCAGGCATTGACATTGCGTTGTGGGATCTGAAAGGTGTGTGCAATATTCTACACGAAGACTCCACATAGCCGAGAAAAATGTCTAATTAGTCATGATCTATAGGTCGCAACCTGAAAGTTCCCATTTACGAGCTACTGGGCGGCCAGGTCCGCAACAAGGTTCAAGTGTACTGCTGGATTGGGGGCGACAGACCATCAGATGTTGAGGCCGCAGCGTAAGTATCCCGATATTCGGCAGGAAGTTACGATACTAATAATCCGTTCAGGAAAAAGCGCATTGCTCAAGGTCTGACATGCGTCAAGATGAACGCAACAGAGGACATGAACTGGGTTGACTCTCCCAGAGTCCTGAAAGACACAGTGGAGCGTCTCAAACAGGTCAAGGCTCTTGGTCTCGACGCTGGTCTCGATTTCCACGGCCGCCTGCACAAGGCCATGGCAAAGCAGCTGGCCAGAGCTCTAGAACCATATGAGCCCCTATTCATCGAGGAGCCCCTACTTTGCGAGCACCCGGAAGCCATCAAGCAGCTCTCAAATCAGACGACGATTCCGATAGCTTTTGGTGAGCGTCTTTACACGAGATGGGACATCAAACGCTTCCTAGAGGACGCCAGCGTCGACATCCTTCAACCGGATATTGCTCATGCTGGAGGTATATCCGAAACAAAGCGCATCGCTACAATGGCCGAAGCCTATGATGTGGCAATTGCACCCCACTGCCCCCTTGGTCCCGTCGCCTTTGCGGCAAGCGTACAAGTCGCCTTATCAGCGCCCAACTTTTCTATTCTTGAGATGAGTCTGGGAATGCACTACAATACTGAGGCAGGAGATATCGATCTCTTGACATATCTGAAGAATCCCACGGTGTTCGATATCGAGGGCGGTTATGTAAAAGCGCCGACGGGCTACGGGTTGGGCATTGATATCGACGAGGAGATGGTTATCAAAATTTCCAAAGAGACAGAGCCGTGGCAGTGCAAGGTTTTCCATGGCCCCGACGGCAGCATCAGAGAATGGTAGTTGGGCGGCTCAATGGTTAAAGTTATATTGTAGTTTTAGCAACTGAATTAGTCCAATTGCTGTCATCAGCACTCCTCGATATATGACAGTTATCTGGAAGCGCATTATTTGCCAAATCACTGCCAGTATATCACTTCCAATAGTCCGATCAAGTTGTTCCAAATCATTTCCGTGAGTTCAGTTGTGCTTTGAGCCATTGCTGGAGGGTTTTGCTTACGGTCCTCTTGCCACTCGACATTATTTGACTCTAGAGGTCAGAGCATATCCAACCTCGGGATTATGTGCGTAAATGCATGACATTACACCATCAGAGGATCGGAAAATGTCCGAACCCCCACGCCACATCACACCATGTTCAAACAGAGGAGTTCTTCCTGGCTCCACGCCCATCTGGAATCGAGCGTCAGTCAGACCTGTGGCCAAGCGGGGAAAGCAAGTGCCGTTGTATACAAGACACATCAAGACGTGGGGTTCACTCAGCTCAAGATGCCGTCCCATGAGCAGTGCTTTAGTTTGCAGATCATGTCGATACTATTCTGGACCAGGTGTTACTTTATGTTGTATTCTCACATCTCTACTTGACTAAGTACACAGCTTCAAGTATCATCGGCCCATCCAGCCCCCATCGACAGTAAGCAGCTCTCCCGAAACGTACAAACTCCCCGCCCCCGCAAGGAACACTGTGGCACCCTTGAAGTCATCCGGGGTACCCCATCTTCCCGCGGGGATCCTGGCCAGAATACTTGCCGCCCTCTCCGGATTATTGATCAGCGCCTCATTCATATCTGTTGCAACATACCCAGGCGCAATGGCATTCACGTTAACACCCTGGCTCGCCCACTCGTTGCTCAGCGCTTTGGTCAGCTGTGCTATGCCGCCCTTGGCCGCTGCGTAGGCCGGCACCGTGATGCCTCCCTGGAAGCTGACGAGCGACGCCACGTTGACGATGCTACCACGGTGGCCGTTTATCGAGTTGGGGCTGCGTGTGAGCATGTAAGCGCCAAAGTCTCGGCAAAGAGTCCAGACTGTCTTGAGGTTGACTTGGAGGACCTCGTCCCAGTCGCCCATGGGAAACTTGTGCGCGGGATGTCTGCGTTGAATGCCGGCACAGGTGACTAGAATGCTGACATCGTGGCCATCGGCTAAGATGCGCTTCGACAAGCTCTCCACTTCCTTTTGATTTGAAAGGTCTGCTGTGTAGATGAAGGTTTTTCTGCCCAGAGCCTCGACTTGTGTTTTCGTTTCAGTGTTGCTTTCGTCTCTCTTTCCTTTTGTTAACGTCAAGCTACATATTTACGTGGTCATGCTTTCTTACTTGGATGAGGATGATATCTGATCCTGCTTCTGCAAGTGATACTGCCATGGCCTGGCCAATTCCCCGTGTACCTCCCGTGACCACGGCTGTGCGGCCTTCCAGAGAGAAGAGCTTTTCCAGAATAGTCGGCATAGTTGCGGTTGTCTGAGTAAATGTTGCCAAACAATTTGCAACACTCTTTCCTCCTGGATATTCTTCATATGCTTATTGGAGTTACTACCCTGATGAGCTTCATGGAGATCAAAAGCCCTCGCCCCCCCCCACCCCCCCCCCCCCCCCCCCCCCAACCGACCCCCCCCACCCACCCCCCCCCCCCCCCCGCCGCCCCTCCCCCACGCACCTCACCACCCCCTCCGTCCGACCGATCCCCGTCGCCTCATCACACCCCCCCCCCCCCCCCCCCCCCCCATCTACCTACGACACGTTCATAGACCCCCACGTCGGTGCCCAGTCGTCCCCGCATGATTTGCCGCCAGCTACACTAGATTCGATTGTCGGCTCGAAACGGGTTTCTGCATGGAGCCAAACTCAGGTGATTCGTGCGCCGTCTCGTACGGTAGGATGCGAGTTGAGGTACCTGCGGGGAAAGCTGACTTGAGATGTCAAGCCTTGAGAGAAGAGAGGGGAGCAACCATCAGAGACGCATCAGACCATTTCCGATCAAGTACACACAACCTCTTCGCGGATTCGTGGTCTCGCGTCCGACCCGCTCCCCGCATGAATTACGGGATGGATGGGGGTCAGCCCCGCAGATCCGGACCCGCAGAGCCGCTCGGACGTCGGGCTAGGCCCCGAACAGAAACGCCAGACAAGCCAGATATACATAGAGCCCTCCGTGGGGGTCAGCTCGTTTCCTCTTCCGGGGATAGTCTGGCCTTGTTGGCACGTCGTCAGAGTTTAGTCGCGATTAGGTCGGGGCACGAAGCACGGGGTTTGATGCGGGGTTTGAAGAGGCGGTATTCATTGGGTGATGGATGACAAGAATTGCCATGGTGATCATTTGACGACAAGTGAAAAGAGAAGGAAGGAGGTTTATGCAAGACAACGAGATGAATCATCACGAGTTGAGGTGAGAATGACGGTCACGCGACACTGTTCTGAGAGCGTTGGAGACTTGGGTAAGGCGGGGAAAGGCAGACGGACTTCTCCAGCCTGTCGCCGTCTGTGAGTGCTAGAAACCTGCATCATAGCTGTAGAAGGAAAACCTGCATCATAGCTGTAGAAGGATCGACAGCTTGCATCAGGGTGAAGAGGCAGAGTGTTGAGGCTCTATAGAACAGCTTTCGGCTTCGATACATGAACGTATTCAACGAAAGTCTCAAATCCCAGATGGTGAGTCATTGTAGCCCTTCGAGATAGAAGGTTTACTAAGCAGGTGTCTTTCGATCCGTAACAGCTTCTTCAATTCTGTTACACGCCCTTTTATTGTTCCAAAGGACTGTATTGTCGTTCGAAAACTTGGCTGAACTCCGAGCTAGATAGCAGTCAGGCTGATATGTTGGTTCATGCCTGGCATGCAGGGGTGGTGCTGTATGCAGTTCCAAAATGCCGATAGCCGGGCCACGGCAGAAAACCCACCAAGTGACTACGTTGTCCAAAAATGTCATGAGCTCCCAAGATATCGCTTTGCTGCGGTCCTTCAGCCCAAAGAACCAGCATGGTCTTGCGCTGTTTTCTGAAGTCGAAGCGATGGAAACTACATCCAAAATCATCATTACGGGCTGCACTGTGGCCGACAGCCATGAGCTGGCTGACCAGAAACAACATCCCCGCCTTCTGGGCAGACCCCTACTGGCAGCTCGCCTGGTGCCATCGGACCCTTGAGTACCATATCATGCAGATAGCCAAGCGAACGCCGCGAAACCTCATCAGTGACCCCGATACGAAGCGACATCAAAAGGCCGTGGATTCCGTCACCGGGCGAATAGTGGGATATGCCCGGTGGAATCTGCCCGCATCCCACGCCAAGAGCATCGGCGGGGCCCCGGCTTGGCCCGATGCCGTGGTTCCGTCTGTCAGCCAAGAGGAAGAAGCGGAGATCCAGCGCGTTGCCGTGACAGCTCATTGAGATCCTAACGAGGAGTCGGACGATTTGCTTGTCCCTATTCGGGAGGCGGAGGATGAAATTCTAAGTAGAAGAGCTTATATGCGTGTGTTTTTCCTCTAACTTGCGGCTTCCATCTCCCAAGTGCTTATTATGCTCGTCACGTAGGACTGGACTACCTGGCAGTTCATCCGGACAACCAAGGCAAAGGCATAGGCACTGCTTTGATCAAAGGTGGCATATCAAAAGCCGAAGAATTGGGCCTTGCCATCTTCATACATGCTATGGAGGACGGGGTGGACCTCTACAAGCGCCTTGGCTTCGTGATCGGAATAGAGTTTCTCCAAGATGATACTAAATACGGCGGAAACGGGCGCGTTTACAGGGCTTTTATGATCTTGAAGCAAGAATAACCGCAATGAGTGTTTTGTCGAAGCTGTATCAGAGGATCGAACAACATCATCTATGCAGAGGCATCAAGACGGAAAGATTGAAGAGGCGCCCCGTATCGTCGGACTAGTACAGCACCCATTTCTAGGTTGGGAGATTCCCCAACCAATCCATTTAATATCAGCCAAAGTGCATGCAGTAGGCGACAAAGTGACGTTCAATTTGTCGACGGGGAATTGGGACGCGACCATTGTCATTCATTCCAACACTTGTCTTGCCAGTATGTTTAGGTGAAAGCTCATTCAATGATCAATACGCTATGATTCTCTTGAAACCTAAGCCAAAACCCACCTTGTTACAAGCATCTATTTTTGCAATGCCTTCTCAGCTTGAATCAACTCTGAAAATCCGTCAACCTGTTTTGTCAGGCTCTCTCCCTCGAGCAATGTACAAGGCTTCCTCGGAAGCCCTCCATAGCCGTAGTACTCCTGCAATGCTGCCTTGACTGAGACAAATCCTCCTTGGATAGCAGTCCAGTCACCGCGGGCCACAACTGCCTGCAGCTCTCTCGCTTCTGCCAACTTGCCCTCATCCCAAAGCTGCATCAGCCTCACACAAGCAAGAGGTGCAATATTTCCGGTTCCACCGATGATGCCATGGCCACCGACGACGAGTGTTTGCAGAGTGAAATCGACGCTACCGCCAAATGTCCGGAATGGTGTCGTGTTGTTGTCGCCCTTCTTGGGGGCTGTAGCAGCAGCTATCCGAGCCAGCTTGCCAGTGTTACCGCAGGTCAGCTTTACGCCGACAATGTTGGGGTGACTCGAGAGGTTGATGATGGTATCTGAGTTGAGATCGAGGCCGCTGCAGGCGCCAGGGTAGTTGTAAATGAGAAGAGGAATCGGGCTTGCGTCTGCTACTTCGCGGAAGTGTTGGAGGATGAGGTCGGTGGTGAGGAGGCCACCGTAGTAAGCTGGTGGGAGGACGAGCGCATAGTCGCCTCCTGATGCACCAGCCTCTTTGCAGAGTTGAATAGTTTCCCTTGTCGACTGCGCGCCGCAACCGACAATCAGAGGTAGTTCTGTCTTTCCTGCTGAATCGAGCGCGGCTCGTGTGGTGCGGTTGATGAGTTGTCTCTCATCGTGGTCGAGGTGCACTGCTTCGCCGTTGGAGCCGTGGGTCACAAGGCCCGCGACGCCGGCTGAGGCGAGACGGACGGCGTGGGAGCGTGTGGTTTCGACGTCTACTGAGTCGTCGGAGCGGAAGAATGCCACGGTCGGGACGTAGAGGCCGGGAGTCAGAGCCGGCCGTGCTCCGTGCTGTGTGCCGTTGCCATTGTGACTGGCGGGACCGCCGTTTGCTGAGGGAGACATTGTGGACTGATTCTGCGGGTTTGTGGCACGAGGGAGCAAGTAGTTTGCGGGAGCAGATGCAGGAGCAGCGGTGGGATGTGAGGAGAGTTTTGGTAAATTAGCTTACTCGCGAACAAAGCTTTTGTAACAAAGAACCCATCCAAACTCAGAATGCAAGGAAGTCAGACAGGCCAGCGCAACATGGATGATCATGGGATCGACTTTCGCCCCCTTCCCTTGCGTCGGTGTAAGTCAGGCACGAAAATAGGTAACATAAGCCGTAGGAACGACCCATGTAACCACGTAGTCCGAACCCCCACGCCGGCACCTCTTCCAAGACGAGTCTAATGGTAGACTATTTCGTCGTCCGAAGCCATCGAAAAGCCTCCTCCCTACCCCCCACAGAACGGAGGAAACGAAAGTGTCGGAGACTAAACCCGCGGGGGGCGGTTTCTGGTACCAAATAATTCTGGGTTTCCCACCTACCAACCCCATCAAACTCCACTGTTTCTTCTCCACAATGGTTTGCCCAAGCAGATCATGTATCTGGACTGTTCCGGGACGGAATCAGCGTGTTGATCAGTCGAGATGGTGACATCCGCGGTGGAAACCGGCGTGGTTTTATTTTCCTTACACACGCGACTTCGCTGAATTTGTCGCTGGTTGGAGACCATTGTTTTGTGTGACGCAGAAAAACCAGCATATGCCAAAGACTTTGCTCTTCCCCGTGGGGGTGTTGTTGTTTCTTGTTTGCACGCGACCATGCGAGGTACGAAGCCAAAAGTAGAACAAACCCATCTCGCTTCTCTTGCGCTTCCGCTAACCCTTACCCGGCCTGGCGTATGTCCGGTCAGATTTCATCTCACACTCTGCAAATGGATCGACGCTGGCCCGGCTATGTTCGGTAACCCAACCCACGTTGGCCCTCTCAACCTTTCCTTGGTGACCTTGCTCCCGACCAACCCCCAGGCGCCTCGGCGGCCCAGGGCCGCTCTCTCAGCTTTGCATGCGCGACCAGGTGAGACACTCGAGGCATCTTTCCGCGGGGATGGGTTGCCATTCCCGACTTCTCGGGCGAGCCTCCCACACTGGCAACGGAAAAACGAGCCCGATATTGCCACTTGGTCCAATCGGGGAATAGCACATGATGACTAGTGGGATAGTTGCTGAATTGGACGAACACCCTTCTCTCCCGGGTTCATTTGGGAGCCATGCTGCGCTTTTGTATCCCGCTGTATACCCTCCATGGGGACCCCGATCATACAAGGCGTGGACGAAGGGCTCGCTTGGAGCCAGACCCAGAACCAAAAGTGCCTGACTCCCCCAGTGCAGAGACAGCAGATCTCCAAGAGTCCAGAACGTCTCATGAATCTGACAGTCACGGCAATTCCTGACGGCCAATCACCCACCACCTCCGAGCTCGCCCGCGGTAGAACAGATGACCAATTGAATTACGTAACTGGGGGCAAGACTTCGGGCTTCTTCACCGGAACTTATAAGTGGCTTTTTCGTACGTTGGAGTATGTGGACCACCTGGTCCGCATCACGAGGTTGAAATCTTTTTTTTTCCCTGGTGGGTTGTTTATTTTTCCTTTCATGTTCTGTGGTTCGGTCGGTTGGTTAAACAGCATCACTCTTCTTGATATGCCCCCATTTGCCTGAGCGTAATGGGCGATGAACGGGAAATCGCAGATATTACGCTTCGACTTTTGGCCAGAGCGGGAGAAATTACACAAAAAGAACAGGGTACGATGCCTTCTACAACACTGGCATCGAGAGTCCGGACGGGAGCAGGAGCAAGCGTTGGTCAGATCAGCTCGAAGACCGCACCAGCACATAGCGGGGTAAGGAATCGCCAAGGATCATACGAGCACAGAGGACGACACAAAAACATCAAAGACGCAGCTCCAGAAACTGCCCAAGATGCTGGAGATCAAGGCCTACAACCATCAATCACGCCTACAGAGACCATGAAGATTCTGGGTCCTCTCCCAGTGCGGAGGGCCTGGAGGGTCAGGCCCGGCCGGGCATCACCAGACATCTCACAGACGCCTGTGTTGGAAGCAATTATGCTTCATGAGCGAGGAGACCTGCAAGGCTCTGAGGATCAATGCTCCAAATGCCGAAGGGGAGACGGGATCTCACCAGAGTGCGTCAAAATGCCGGGCATCTACAACGGTGCGTGCAGCAATTGTCTGCTGGCACGCACATCAGATCGGCCAGGATCATCGTCGAGGCCGGTACGGAGCTATTCCGCCGAACGACGGTCCATCTCCGCGACGATATCACCATCCATACCAAAGGAGGATCTGATTGCTGTGTGGAACCTCATTGCGGGCGTAATCGCAACGCAACCCCAAGAATGTTTCACTGAGGACGGATCAGAGCCACCGGGGAAGAAAATCGAAGACGCGGCTCGATTAGTGGCGAGGTCGGCAGACGAATGGGGTCATACGATTAAGGAGGAAGAATCAGATCCTGGGAAGACACCCAAAACGCCTTCGGAGAGAAGCAGGCTTGTCCGGCAAGCTACCAGAATCCGAGAGACAGCGTTGCAGATTGCGAATTGTGCGAGAATTTGGGGCGAAAAGTTGGAGAGGAAGAAGTCTTCTTCACAACTACGGTGAAGGAGAGAGTTGCGGTTAGACAGTACGCAACCACAAAATCACGAGTCAAGCACCTAGATAATTGAAAGCAACATGTCCATGCTTACTAGGACTATGGTCAAATTTAACATGATTCAAAGTCACATATGCCGAGCGAAAACTCTTCTCTGCGTGCAATTACCTGGCCCGTTTTCCTCGCCGTCTTGCAGCGCAAATCCACCCAGGGGCAGAGTAGACACGATGCTACGCGCTTTGAACTCATCAGTCGCACCGATGATATCATGCTCCAAAGGACAAAGAAATGGCTGAAGCCCCCCTGAATACCCCACGGACCCGAGACGAAGGTCGACCGAGATTCACCACACTGAGGCCTCCAGAAAAGAAGGTTCAGTACCGGCTTCCCCGCGTCGGACCAGGACGATGGCCGAGAAATGAGGGGGAAAGATGGGGTGATGGGGCGCAACGTCGGACACCTCTCCGAACCCCTGGTCACAGGCCCCGGATGCAACGCCCGGCGACCCCCATCTAACCCCCAAGGAGTCTTCCTCGCCCGTTCCCCCACGATACACGGGCACACAACACAAGGTTCGCCGATCTGAAGGTCACAGCGAAGGAATCTCTGGGGTAGGTGCCCTGGTGGCTTCTCCGCCTCCGCACCGAACATCGGGGGCTGAAGTCAGTTGCCGGCCGGTATTCGCAACAGGAATCTGACGGATTAGTGTACAAATACTAGGTCGAGTGAGGGGACCATACCAGAAGTGCATGCTACAGAGCACAGCTGAACGCCAACCGAAGTCTTTGCGCCGAAACAAGGTCCAACGAGCACCAAGACTTCGATAATGACTGCACAAGGCCAGCAGATCGAGGTCCTCCTCTACGGGTTGGGGGCGTGGGTCACTCACCCTGAATTCCTATTCGGATGAGAAGCTGACACCATCTGTTCAGCATTGGATCATTCTACGCCTTTATTCTAAGCAGAGTACCGCGTGTTAGATTAACGGTTGTTGCTAGGTCAAATTATAACGCAGTGAAGGAAAATGGAATCGTTATTGCGAGCGAAAACCATGGAGAGCATAACGTTCGCCCTTACAGAGGTATGCACATGAAATCCGGGGTAGCCGATGGGGAGCGAAATTATGGCCTTAACCCTGTTCATCCAGCTGTTCAAAGCTAATACCCCCAAGTTGTAAGGAATGCCGCAGAGGCGGAAGCGAAGTTTGACTACATTGTCTGCGCTCACAAAGCCATCACCCAGGATGCAGTCCCCGCGGAAATTGCCCCGGCAGTTGATGCGGAGAAATCCACGATCGTCATTATTCAGAATGGTGTCGGTAACGAAGTGCCATTCCGCAAAGCGTTCCCCCACACAACAATTATCTCATGCGTGGTGAGTCGCGGGGGGAGAGTCTCCAAGAACCTGGGATGAGCTTATACTAATGAGACAGACCTGGACTGGAGCCGCTCAGCCTCAGCCTGGGCACATCAAACACACAAAGTCCGAGGACATGCAAATAGGATTGTACCCGAATGATACCGACCAGGCAGTGGAGAAGCAGCGACTGGACGAATTTGCATCTCTATTGACAGAGGGCAGGACAGTATTCCAGGTGGTGCCCAATATCCAAGTACAGCGCTGGGAAAAGGTTGTTTGGAATGCAGCGTGGAACTCGCTCACGACATTAACACTACTCGACACGCATTCATGGCTTAGCTCCTCGCCAGACGCTACCCCAATGACCCAACGATTGATGAGAGAAGTTATCGATGTTGCTAAGGCATGCGAGGTGCCTATCGATTACGACCTGGTCGACAAGCTGATCAACAAGATCCTGGCTATGCACCCCATCGGCAGCAGCATGCAAAACGACTTCAAAGCCGGTCGGCCGATGGAAGTGGACATTATCCTCGGTTACCCCTACCGAAAGGGCAAGGAACTAGGGATAGCTACCCCAACGCTAGACACCATCTATGTGATTTTGATGGGCACAAACCTTCGTCTTCTCAGGGAGTCCGGGCACTAGATAATCTCATCTGAAAAGAGTATAGCAAAGCTGAACACGTCCACAGTCTCGGGTCAGTTGACAGACACCATGGTCATCCTTATTTGGTGCCAAAGTTAATCCTCAGCCTCTGCGTGGGGGCATCAAGCTGTCAGTCCTCTCTCGCACCTCCAACTTGCAAGACACCGCCGAGGTCTGTCCAGGCGAGGCCGCACTAGGTCATAATTATCCCATTTGTGTACGGTTTTATGCACGGCTAGTCAGGTAGCCCGCCCTTCACCGCACGCGGACTTCTCTCCATCCCCAACATTCCGTCCCCACCTCCCGAAGGTGGGCAACGTGTGGTTCGTGAGGGGAATTAGTGCCATTTTCGTCTGGTCTCTCCACGCGGTGCCAGCCATGCGTGCCATGCCAACCTACAAACTTGCTTAGCGCGCGGTGCTGGACTGAGGGGAACGGGTAGGTCCCCATGGGGGGATCCTCTCACATCCGCCTATCTAAAGCAATTATTGGATGAGATGGTATGGGTTAGATGCACCTCGTACGGTCAAATGTTGCTCATGACGAACTTGGCTCGAGCTTTTCGCCGAACATCTGAGCGGCCTACGACGCGGCCGGCGATACGACGATAAACAGGGTCTAGGTATAAGATGGTAGGAGATCGCCGCCCATCTTGGCTGACTGGATGTTTGGACCATCAAGGGAGAAGCCGGTTCTCTCTTCTTGAATTCCTGTCTTCTTTCTTAGTCAGCCTTTCATCAAGAGAGCAGCTTACCGCCAATAAACAACATGGACACCGCATCAAAGACTGGAGACGGTGTGTCTCAGCTTGAGCATCGCAACACCGAGGACGTCGAACAGCTCAAGCATCAGGGCCAAAACATTGCCAAGGGTGCCGACCGCGCGGCGAACCTTATTGGTGATCAACAAATCGAGGTCACAGAGGAAGATGTAAGCCGACCTAGTTTTCAGGGTCTTATCAAATTGAAGAGGAGCTGACTCGACTACTCTAGAACAAACGCATCCGCCGAAAGACCGATAAGCGAATCCTCTCGATCCTCATCTGGGTCTACTTCCTCCAGATCCTCGACAAGTCCGTCCTCGGATACGGCGCCATCCATGGCCTCAGAACCGACTGCAACTTGACCGGAAATGAATACTCCATGGTCAGCTCCATCGCTGCCATCGCTCAGCTCGCATGGCAGCCTTTCTCCTCTTGGCTTATTGTCAAGGTGCCACACCGCATCCTGATGCCCTCCTTGGTCTTGGGTTGGGGTATCGCGCAGGTGTGCATGGCTGCATGCCACAACTACGCAGGTCTCTTGGCGACCCGCTTCCTGCTGGGCTTGTTCGAGGCCGGCTGCCTTCCTCTTTTCTCTGTCATCACTTCGCAGTGGTACCGTCGCGCTGAGCAGCCCATGCGTGTGGCATGCTGGTACGGCACCAACGGTCTTGCAACTATGTTTGCCGCCTCTGTCTCGTACGGCTTGGGTCAGATCAACGGGTCCATCCACTCGTGGCAGATTCTCTTCATCTTTGTCGGTCTCATCACCGTCCTCACCGCCCCCGTCGTCTGGTACTTCCTCGATAGCGATATTCCCTCTGCCCGATTCCTTACCGAGCACGAGAAGCTGCAGGCCATCGAGCGTCTTCGCGCCAACCAGACCGGCACGGGAGGGAACGAGTTCAAGTGGAGCCAAGTCTGGGAGGCCCTCTACGAGCCCAAGAGCTGGCTGTTCGTTGGTATGGCCGTGTGCCTCAATGTCACCGCAGCTGTGACAAACACTTTCGGCCCCATTGTCATTTCTGGCTTCGGCTTCGACAGCATGAAGAGCTCCCTGCTCAACATCCCCTTTGGTTTCGTGCAGCTTATTGTCATCTTCCCGGCTTCCTACCTCGCCCACCGATTCCGCATTAAGTCAGCCTTCCTCGCGGCCGTCCTCGCCCCTGTCCTTACTGGCGCGGTCATGCTCTATGTTCTTCCTAGGAACAGCATTCCCCCTCTCCTCGCCGCGTACTACATGCTTGCCTTCCTCTTCGGCGGCAACCCCCTCATCGTCTCTTGGATGATCTCAAACATTGCGGGTACCACCAAGAAGTCCGTCATCATGTCCCTGTACAATGCTGGATCTTCCGCCGGCAACATCATCGGCCCCCTTCTCTTCAACTCCAAGGATGCGCCCGAGTACAAGCCTGGTCTCACCAAAGTCATGGGTATCACCTGTGCCTTGCTCGCCGTCATTGGAATGCAGGTCATCAACCTCTTCGTCTCCAATAAGATGCAGGAGCGCAAGAGAGTGGCGAACGGCAAGCCGAGAAAGATCAAGGATCTCAGCATGGAGCACCACTACGTTAGCGCACAGAATGATGAGGCTGGTGCTCAGTTGGGAGATAACGCATTCATGGATCTGACTGATCGCCAGAATGATGAATTTGTGTACGTCTATTAAGACAAAAACCTATAGGGATAGTGTTTAGAGCGTTTCAAAATACCTAGTAGTTGATGATTAACAAAGCGTTTAAGCATCCTGCTTAGAATGTCTCCATCTTCAAGTCTTCGGCCACCAAGTTTCAAGTGATCCATACATCCCGATACACCAAAGCTTCGCATGTAGCTACCAGTCCCGATCCAATTTCTCTGCAATATTGCTCACATGCCAAACCCCACCTCTACCTACGATCCATAGCTCATGCACGCCAAATGCCATGTTCACAGCCAGATTGCTTCCTCCACCCACACGTATAGTGCCAAGTGCGAGTCCAGACACGGGATCAATGACATCCACCCCGTCGCCAGCCCCGACAAAGATCCAACCATTTCTCGAAACCCGAATACCGTCATAGAAATACGAAATCGGGTTGTTCAAGAAGCGTGCATTCGTGAGAACGCCCCCGGCTGCGACATCGTATGCAAAGAGGGCACGGTTGCCGTACGGATTCTTCCTATCCACCGGCTTGGCTTCGGAGATACCGGTGTCGGGAAGATACAACATATGACGGCCGTCGTGGCGCGGCGAAACAGCAACTCCGTTGGCGTTTCCTGTTGCAATGTGCACAACTCTCGGTCGCATGGTTGTACTGTTCACCATGTAGACGGTTGGGTTTGTTGGGGGAGTGAAGTCCGTCAAGTCCCGGCCCTGAGAGAGGTATTGTTAGTCATACATGCGGGATTGAATTTTGAACCATATGCCCTTCACGATAAGTGACGGCCTACCCAGCCAGATTTTGAATCTGTGAACCAAAAGTTTCCATCAGAGTCAATCTCAAGATCATTGAGACCTGCAAAAGGCTGCTCGTAGTAGTTGTTCAACAACACAGTTGTCTCTAGGGTTATTGGTTCAATGCGAATGAGTGCCCCTGTCTCGTTATGGCTACCGTCCGTTACGACGTGATACGCTCCATTGTAGTAAACACAGCCGTGGGCGTTGAGGGTTGGCGGGTTTGTTGTGATCTTTCTGAGGGTATTGTTCTTGGTATCCAGTAGATACTGCCAGCTATGGGTACCGTTGTCACCTCCAGGGGGTCCCCACTCTACGAAGAAGAGCTCCTTGGTCTCCTTGTTGAAGCATGGTGCCTCGTGACTTTGGGATGCTAACTTTTGAATTTGCTTAACTGTAGCCTTTGGACCAAGTAGATCCATGAACCTTTCATCATAGGCTATGAAATTCGTGGTATTGAGGAAGGCATTCCTGTTTCTTTAGCTAAGGCTCGTCATGGAAGATACAAGTCTGCGGAGGTATACCTCTTCTGTAACTCTGAATCGGTGGCGCGTCCCTTGTAGACAGCATCCATGGCGGAACGATTGAACGACCCAGATAGAACAGCCACCGAAGATTCGCCATATGACATGTACGCCCATGTTGCGATTGTATCGTTGAAAGCGTCCGGGAGATCAGTAAAATACGCAACGATGGCGAACGGCAAAGCTGCCAGACTCCATAAAACCAAAGATCTCATCTTGAAAGCTCTTGGCCTCTCTGACTCGCCTGAGTAAAGTTTAGGGGCAGCCATTACTGAAGTTATATTGTTTACATCCGTTTATAATTGTTCTTTACCAAAGTGACAACGGGTGCTGTCCTCGTGAAGTCGGGCCAGTACCGAGACCGGACTACTCCGCGTTCTTTGATGACACCAACAAAATCTTTACACTTAGAGCGTTCTACTGGTGGACTACTCCGCACTCTCACTTACACAGTAGATTTGCGGATGGACTACTCCGCGTTCTTGTCAGTAGCGAGGTCAAATGGCAACACGTTAATGGCAGCCGCGGTGCTGATTACGTCTTTGGGAACTACTTTTCCAGATCGTCAAAGCGGGGTAGTCATACCTGAAAGACTTCATATGTTCACAGCTAAATAGTAAGAGAAGCTACGATGAAGTCAATTGCCGGCATGGTTGGGGGATTATTCGGGATATAGGTGGATACGCGGAGAAGCTCCGCCAAAAACACCCGGCGGGGGAAATGCGGGTGGTCGAGTTCCTACCCTTCCAGACGGAGTATCTCCGATTACCGTGCGGCGGGCAGGCGGTAAAATGTAGAATATAACACTGCCGATGAATTGATTTGTGGTCTCTGGGGCAAAATGATTTAATGAAGGATGTTAGAGCCTACTGCTCTGTCTAGACAGTGAAATGGCACTTGATTCTAGAACCATACCTCCATCAATCAAGTTGCCGAAGCGCTTTCAGACCGAGGAGTTAAGAAGGATTGGAATACACTGAAGCTAAATCTGATCGAACTTATGCAACTCAGTCCGAGCCAAGTTGAGTTAAGCCCTGCACACAGCTTGAAGATAGATGAAGCTTGATAAGTAAACTGTGCAAAGGACTTTTGGATAGAATGTAATCATACTTTTGGATTTTGTGGCTACTATACTGACACCAAAGGGATGTTTTCTGATCTTCTATCTGAGTTTGTGAGTTCGCGCCATGAGAATTTCCGTGATAAGTGAGTGGAAAGCAAGGATAAACGATGCACGTTAGATTGCTGACGTAGATCGCGCAGACGCAACTCAGACAAGGCGAGCGCCAAGTCTTCAATGACAGAAGTGCGAGCGAGCTCGCTTTCATTGAGTATTAGACCAATCCCAATGGAATTTTGGGTCTCAATCAGCGACCTAGGGTCATCCGAGCAAGGCCACTGTTTCACTCTCGAACAGCCAAGCTGCATTATTCACAAGAGTACCAAAGTCTTACTAATGATCAAATGTTGACTGGGCATGGCAGATTTTCCGAATACTCGGAAGCGAACTATTAGATCTTCGTTGCTAATGAGTTTGCGTTTTGACACGATATCCTAAGACTCTGCGTGCTCGCCGTCCCGATCAACACTCTGACGTCAAGTGGGGGAAATGAGAAGCTCGTCTTCGCTTTTTTGTGTTTGGAAGTATATTTCACGCTTCCAGATTCGGGGTCTCGGACTGGTTGTTTGAGCTTAAGACCGGCTGCTGAAAATGGACCTGTCACTGAACTCCAGATCTCCTTAGCTGATGCAGACTGGAGAGCTCCGGGTGTTGTACGAGGATACCTCTCTTCTAGCGGCTCTATCATACAAAGGCCCGGATTGGAGTAATTTTGGTGGAGCCGGTCTGCGTTGCTCTCCTCAGGGCTAGAATTACCATCGAATGGTACAACACGTTCCCACCTCGATATGAAGTCAAATGATGGCGATAAACAGTAGGAAGTGTTGGTCAATAGGCAGGTTTCTCACTACAGAGCTTATTGTAGAGGACATGTTCCTAAACTTCCTACCTGTAGGCAAGATCGGCTGAGGAATCGAGTTGGAAATATCCTGCGAGCCTGCTGGTTCAATGTGAAGACTCTGAAGAGCATCCGATGGTCAGCGAGTTTGCAACAGCGAGAGTAGAATACTAAGAGATTAGAAATGGACTCAAAGACCAGTTCACTTTCTCTCAGATCCTAGTCTGTCAGCCCTTGGCACCTGAATGGTTGCGTGGTGTAAAATCGACTCTTAGCGCGGAATGTCACGTACTAAGTCCGAAATACGATTAAGGAGAATGCGGAAAATACGGCAATGTCAAGGATCTCCCGTACCGCTCGGTATGGGGTTCTAGACGACCTTTAAGCTTTTTCTAAGCTCGAACAACAAGATGTGGTCCAGCTAGGCGTCCTCGGAGAATTGGTGTGGGTGCACAGCCTAGCTAGCCCCTATCACATTTCACGCTTTTCTTTTCCTATTTCCCCCCTCCATGCCCGTTACCGAAACCGAGCACAGAGACACGACAGCTCCAAGGACCTCCCCCAATCATCGGTCTCAACTTGCCGAAAAGGACTATGCTCACTCTCATCCCCTCATTCGCCATCGTAACTTCGTAAGGATGGCAGAGGTCAGTGAGGAGAACTGACGGCCGATTGACAGGGCTTCTTTGAGACGAACTTGGCTCTTACTCATCCACGCGGCTGGGAATTCTGCTCTGCGCTGAGTTTCAGCTTCTGAATTTCTCCATATGTATCACTTTGCGAATTTTCAAGATCATCGATGATGCAAAGCACAACCTTCACCTCTAGTGTGTTAGTTCTCACTCTTGACTAACAACCCTCCATAGCCATTGTTGTCGAGTACCGCAAGCACAAACGTGCAAAATACCTTTCCCGAGAATTTTGGCGCGTTTTTAGCTCACCCGTTGATCAGCAGAGCCGTCACTGGAGGCCAATCTAGACTCAAGTTGTTCCTCGAAACGAGGCCTCTGGTAGCTTGTGGGCCTGCCACCAGACCCCGGCCTTCGGTCTCGCTTTCAAGGCTCACTGGCCACCTGCACTGCCTGGCCCACCGAGGAAGATCATTCTGACTTGTGCGACTTCCAGTCCGTCTTTGATAATGGCATGCAGCCAAGTTTTTCCTTTTCCACGTCCTCACTTGTCAAAAACACAGCACACGAAAGCTGACGGGGCATATGTGATTCGTTTTACTCGCTTTCATGAATTTCGGAAACGCCTAACGAGACAGCGGATGGATCTGCCAACCCGAACCCGACGTATTCCACCTTTTCTCTTACTGAACTACTAGGTCCTTTAGTGTTTATATACAACTACACGACCGCCTCTTCTCAACTGTGCTGGAAGAGTCCGACTCTGTTTTGTTGCCAACAACACTCACCAACTCCCATCTCTTGCCCCCCAACACACCAGAGCAAGAGAGATCAAACGTCAGCATGAAGTCACCAGTCACCGAGTCGCCGCCTCCAGAGGCAGAGAAACTTCCCATCACCGAGACAAGTTCAAGCGCTGCTTCACCGAACCTACGTGGAGACGATGAAGAAGCTACAATCGCCGAGCCAAATGCGAATAGCGTCAACACAGTCGTCGATGATGCTGCCGAGCCTGAAAACGAGTTCTCTGTATGGTGGGCGGACGATCAAGATCCAGAGAATCCCATGAATTGGTCAAAAAGTCGCAAACTGGGCATCATCGCGACACTTTCCTTCATCAC